TCCAAAGCGCCGGCGACTAATTGACGTCCTCGCTGAATACAGTAAGTGTTTTGCCACTTGATCGAAAGTGCGCCAAACACCAGTGGCGAAACACTGCGTTGCTACCGACGACGACGCGTTCTCTGTCCACCGGTCGCCCTACCAAATCTCCTTAATGGAGAGAAAGCTGATGCGAGACAAAGTCCAGGAAATGGTCGACGACGAAATCATTCAAACCTCAAAAAGACCGTGGGCGTCCTAGCCGTGCTTCTAAAGACGAAGGACGGAACCGTGAGGTTATGTGTGAACTATCGTCGACTGAATGCTTGACTAAGGAGGACGTCTATCCTTTTCCCTCATCGACTACACTTTACACCGACTGCGTCACTACTGATATTTTTCGTCGATGAACCTGAAGAGTGGTTACTGGCAGATTGAAGTCGACGAACGCGACCGCGAGAGAGCTGTCTTCGTCACTGCCGACGGACTGTGCAAGATCAAAGCGATACCGCTCGTACTTTGAGCAGCACCAGCCACGTTCCAACGTGACATGAACACCGTGCTCACAACTTAGCAGCACGCGACAAATCATCTCGTTACGAAACAACACGGTCCATACGGCACGCGGGAAGCTGTGCGGAGATAAAACAGCACAAAGAAAATTGAGCAAAACTTTTGAAATGCACAGCTACACAATACCTTTTTCCAAGGTGGCACAACGTCAAAGTATCACAGCTAAGAAGCTCCACTCGTTTGGGTGCTTTGAGTTTAGCAAGAACCTAGCTCAAGGTAGGTGTTTAACGCAGGATTAAAAACTTGTGTTTTTGCCGGGTTAAGAAAAGCGGCCTTATTCATAGCGTTTGCAGTTTTATGTCAGCTAGCGCCACTATATTTTTATGTGCAATTAATATGAAACATCGTGAATATCTCCACTTGTACTAAAATATGAAACTGAGGGCCGTTTAATCATTTGATCCTCTGATTGAGGCCTATTATGAAGAAAGCGCCAAACTCTAGTTGATTCTTCTCGGGCTAGAAATTTCAAAATGTATTATGTTAACCCTTCTTTCTTTGCCGGAGCATTTTAGGTAATATGCTGTAGTGCTTTAATATGCTCTTAACAACAAAGCTTTACTTTACTTTTGCTGCATCAGGTCCATCAGAAATTCCTGGCCCCTTAGATTAACTTTTCGTTTTGTGATTTTATTTATTAACATTCTCAACACTCTTGGGTGATAATTAACACATGCGTTTGTCCACTGGTCTTTCAACATATAAACGAGAATCTTTTCGTTCATGAATTTTCCGCCGAAAAACACTAGAACAGCAAATGAGAGGCAACACAGGAAAATTCGTGCGTTCAACTTAATAGAAACGTTAATATGAATCAGAGCCAACTAGCTGAACTTAGGAAGTTGTTTTTACCACAGCTGGTCGTAGCCTATGGTACCTCGCTGTTGCAATTTACGGAAGCATAAAAAAACTCCGGTCAGGTACGGTTCACCCTTTCGCTCGAAAAGTCGCCTTCAACAGAAAGCCGAAAGAAAAAGTTTCAATTACTTCCCACAATAAAGGACGTAAGATACACTCAGGAACCTTGAAACTCGCCTGTGTTTGTGTCTTCGTCCTTGTGTACGGTCTGTTTTGTGCCTTACACCGTGGTTTATAACGCTCACCAACTAGTCCAACTACAAGCTCGCTTTGAATCATTTAGTGTGCTACTTTTTCAATTTGTTGCATTATCTCTTACATTTCGAATTATTCTAGGACACAATTTTTGTTGACGAGGATGTGATTTTTAAGTTTCAGCGCAGTTGAACACGGTAAAATATATTTATAAAAATCTACCGATTGCCTTGTAACAAAGCGCCTGAAGACACGTTGTCTAAGGTTTTTATACATTTACTCGTAGTTTAGTTTCAATGAAATTATATTTTAGATTTATGCGTGTCCATGTGCTCCCAGAGCGTTGAATACTTTGACGGTGATAGAAGTTTAAACATTTACCTTTTTTCGCCAGTGCGGTGGCCATTTTATAACGAGCTATGCTAATAGAAACATCAAAATATAAGAAGCGATGTAAATGATGTACGTTACCAATAAAAGCATAATCTAAAATAGAAAAAAATAGAGTACTAAAATTAAAGTCTGGTCCTCGAATGAGTTTGCTGGTATATCTCTATAGCTGTGATTTCTTTTCATCGCGATTACCGCAGGACAACAACGGGTTTATGGCTAACAGACACACGCGTATATTAGGCGATAAATATTTGAAGAAATTATATTCTTATTCTATTACGTTATCACTTTCACCGTGATATTTATTAAAACTGGTATGAGGCAAGCAGTCTATTAACGCGACACCCTAATATTGCCACTGCGCTATTTCAGTTTGTGCCCCTTCGTCGCTGAGGTTTTTTACGTTATATTCTTTTGGCACTTTTTTTGGTGTCTTTTTAACGCGTTGTTGTTTTGTCGCCTGATATTTCGACCGTGCGCTTAGGTCGCATGCTGTTGTGTGTAAAATTTGTATCACGTAGAACAGTTCCGAAAGGGTTTGGCATTGGATGAAAATCAATGGCGTACCCAGCGCTACAGTTGCGTTGCAACACTATTAGTATGTGGAGTAGCAGCATGTAATGTAAAACAAAATGCCAATAAAAAAGAATGATTTGTAGCACGAAGATAAGCAACGTATAAAGTTAATATTTTCTCAATTTTTGTTTCTCATATTTTAGTGTATGAGTGTATAACTTTTGGTGTTGTCGGTCGTTATACACGCGTGTACTGTACTGTATATATATGGGTGGTAATGACGTGTGGTAATGACGAAGTGAACGAAACGGAATAAGAGGAGAAAACAAAATATGTACACGTGCCTTGTGTACGGCACATACAACACAGGCATACGTGTGTGACGGTCGCGCGGTTCTGTAGCAGTAAGTACATTTTTGACGCTGAGTTTCGCAACAGTGTAGGTGTTACCCATAAGAAGCCCGCATATCCAATTCTGACAACTAAATAGTTGAAACAAATAATCGAACTCCTGTTAAAAAAATAACCCATAGGACAAGACTATACAAAACAGTAATATAAAATATTATATGCTATTTTTTCAAAAACGAACACACAGGTGACTTTGATATCTGTCCGTATTTGTTCATTATAATTTCCCTGTCAGATGGCACACGAATATTATTGTTTTATTCTGTCTTAAATAAATTTCAAAGTAGCGATATATTAACTTAACGTATGTGGCAAAAATACCTGTATTTGTTTTGTGTGTTACGAATATATGCCAATAAAAGAAGTAAGGAAGAATTGTAGTTCCGTTAATAAAAATACATAGTTTAATTTGTTTCTCTATTTGAGCCCTTCGTCATTTACTATGATATATAGGTCACATGGGTGCATATGACTTTTTGACTAGGGGTAATATGGCGTTTATATGGTATTTCATTGATTCATCGATTGAGACTACAACCACACAAAATTTCTAGAAACTTTACGGAAATTCGTGGTTTTCAACTGTCTGTTGAACTTGCATGCCAACAGGCCTGCGTGAGAATTTATTTACTTAACATGGTATCCTTTTTAAATGTTTCATAGAAAGATGCGATCGCATGACATATTATTTGACGCGTCAACAATCGTAATGAGTATATAAATTCGATCTTTTAATTTAAAATCATTCCAAAAATTTGATATAAATACCGGGAGATCTTATTCGGGGTCAGATTTAGTAGCACTTTCCCCATGGAAGCGTCAACATGTATTTCATGCCAATATCTTTTCCTTATTTTTCGCGTGCTTACACCTATGCGTTCTAACGCCCGCTAAAGCCTTTCCATTAGCTTCAAATTTGAACAAACACGATATTATGCGAGAGTTATCAAGAACATTTGGACCGTATTGAACAATAGTGAGGTTGCGCAACAGCGGTATTTGGCCTCTATCTTAAAAAAATAATACGTTGAAGCTGCTACATGTAGGACTTGAATTCGATATATTTTCTAGGCCAAGAAAATTGTGCTCATAAAATTATAATTGGTCTGCAGTGCAAAACACTGACCGGCTGCCGCATTGACTCGCCAAAATATTTCTGGAGTTTTTCTAAAGACTACGTCGAGATACGTAAATCGCACTCCTGAAAGTTTGTTGGTAGCGGAGTTCAAATACCTTACGGTGTGTTGATGCATGCACTTCATAGCATACTTGCTGCACCCCCCCCCCCCTCCCCCTAACCACAGCTGTCCGGAAATAATAACTATGTACCCCCAGGGAAAATACGCTCTGAAAGTCGCGATCCGGTCTTCTACGTCTGCGGTCCCCACAAGTCGTATTATATTTCAATTTGTCCGAGGTATGGGACCTCAACTTCGCATTCCATTTCCAGTTCAAGCGACAGCTTTCTCGAAAACTGGCGGATACACTAAAAAAAGCAACGAAGTGCTGTTTCAGCTAGTAGTGTCCGCGATAGTAAATGCCATACCTAACTGTCATCGACTGTTGTCCATGACGGCATCCACGGCTTTGCACGCGACAAAGGGAACTGATTAACTGGAGAATATATAACTTAACATATTCTTAAACTAAATGCTTTATATATTAGAACTTCAAACTTCACTAATTTGTTGGGTAAATCCACTTTCACAAAACAGGACATAGGTTATTCGTTGGTGTGTTGGATTACTTTTGGAATCAAACAGCACAGCTTAATCCTTAGCTTCAGCGCTGCAACGAAGGTCGGTATGTCGGAGAGCTCTCTTCCACCCTGAAGGCTATAAATTACGCTGCGCTATTAAATTCTAGACAGTACTTGCACACGCTTAGAATTTTCGCACTTTCTTATTTAGGAATACTACTGTCTTTCCATTGAGAGCTGAGGCATATCTGTTCCAAATTCGATTCTTCAACAATAACAAAATAAATTCTGCGGCCTCTCCCAATTTGCTAGAGTGCCGAGTAGTAATTCAGCGGGTTGAACAATGAGAAACATAAGCTGCATTTCCTTTCAACAGGTGGTGCGAATGCTGTTCACTGTGGTGGCTCTCTTTGCCGTCTGCTGGCTCCCGTACCACATCTACTTCCTCTACGTGTTTCATCATCCTCACGTGGCGTACCTCGACCACATTCAGCACGTGTACTTGGCCATGTACTGGCTGGCCATGTCACACGCCATGTACAATCCAATCATCTACTATTTTATGAACAGCAGGTAAGTGTTGCCCTCATTCCTGTTTTGATATTTTAATCTTGAAATGCATAATTTAGAACAAGCGAGGCGACGCATTAAGATACTGCTACATGCTTAATTTCATTTCATTATTGCTTTATGCTTTCATCATATGCTTCTGCATAAGATGATATAAAACATGTTTACTTTTTGAGTGCGAGCAAAGCTCTACTAGTATGTTGTTTTTTTGCGTTTGTGGGCTGGGAAATAGGCCTATATTTTCAAGAAGTAAATAAACTAGGCTATTTTGTACATGATATTTAGGTTTTTTCTTGCTGCATCTATATTGAAATTGAGGTCCAGCTTCTGAAACAGCTGTTGTATTGTGCTAAAGGAACCTGCATGTGGACAGCAATGGTATAAACCCCCCCCCCCCCCCCAAAAAAAAAAGAAAAGAAAGAAAGAAGGAAATGAGTCGGTAGTTGTTATACAGCAGAAATTTAGTCTGCCCGTACATGGCGACATTGTTGCCAACTGTAGATGAGTAATTAAGCTAGGGAATTACGACTGCTAGCCTGGGGTCTTTAGCGTGCACTACGCAGTAGGGATACATAACCGCACGGCGGTTCGATGCTCATCCAGATCGAAGCGGGCAGGGGTGGGGATCGAACCCAGCATCCCTGGGTTCTGCAGCGCGAGCTTTCACTCCGCGTGCTTCGAGCTGGTGTGCGCTAGACCACTCGGCCGGCAACCCCTCAGCAAAGTTATCAATGAAGCACAATTAGGCACGTTGGCACGCATCAAGAAAAAAAAAAAAAAAGAAGCGCGAATAAGTAACCAAGGCATGCTTCTGCAAAAGAGAGTGTTCGAATGTTAAGATAAGTCATGTCTTGCCAAACACTCAGAGCGTTGAGCAGGACGTTTTAAAAAATCTTCTAACCAGGAAAACATGGAACTACTAAGTTGCTCAGAGAGCGCAACTAAACATGATTCTATTCATAAAATTCAAAGTGCGATTTTGTAAATTTCATTTTGATGTCAAAAAGTAGCCTACGATGTACCCAATCAGTTACCCACGGCAATTATGTGCCTTATCAGGTATTTTAGTTTTTCTTTGCAACAGCCGTGAAACATAAGAGTTGTTTTTTGATCAAGTTCACTTCTCGATCCGCTATCGTTTAAGGATACATTTGGCCAATGATAGTTTTGAGTGTTTTCTCTTCATACTATAAACAATAACCATAACAAGAATGAGCCGCAATGATTTTCGCAGCTTAATTTTAACCGAAAAAAGAGCCCCGTTTCGAGCAAGTCTTGCGGTTTTTTGAGCTACTCAGACCAAACGTATTTTTGGAATACACAGGCTTTATTTAGTCTTTCCGGCAAGCTAGTTTTTCTTATTTCCTCTTAACTCATAATACGGATTAAAAAAAAACATCAAATGAATGTTCTGCCAAAAGCAACAGTAACTTTTTCTAGAGCTCTCCAGTGGGCTGACGTCACATTCTATATAACTTGCCAGTCGAGGAGACAGCCTAGAAAACATTATTTCGCCCAAATATTTTTGCCGGGTTTTCTGGCGGTCGCTTAAGCAGTATTCATTTCACGCCATCACATTTATTCTAACATGTCAGGAACAAGCTGCGCTGACCCTTATTGCCCGATATTGTAAATAATAATAACACGAGCCGTGGGGTAGCGATTCAAGAAAAGTGAATGAAGTCTAATGGCTCATCTTCTACATAGTTTGTGGTGGCGCTGCCCGAACGGAGCAAGTTTACAGAGTAGCAGCACCGCTAAACTTCCCTTTCTTTATGAAGGATGGCGTGGGCAGTAAATTTACGGGTATTGATGAAAGGGTTCGGTCGTTCAAACAGTTTTGTGGGTGGTTGTCGTGCACGTTTTGTTTACCATTTCGTCGTTTACCCTGAGACTGGTTTTTTTTTTTTGAAGAGCAGAAGTAACAGAAAAAACAGACAGGTCTCAAACTCAGCTACACGTTTATTTCAACAACCTCCTCTTATATAGTTCGTTTTCGTCGTCAACAACCAATCACATACGACTTGTCCTTTGCACCGTGACTTTACAGGTTCCGCAATTGCTTGATCTATAAATAGTGATATGATATGATATGTTATGATATGATATGATATATTTATTTTTACTTATACGAGCCTCGGCGCCGCAGAAATGCAAATCGCCATTATCTTGAAGGCCTGCCCCGCCGCTTCTAATGATGATAAAATGGTTTTGTACAAATGAACCGTGTAATCACGATGAGGATGGGACGGTGAAGAGGTTGAAAACATTTTGAAAGCAAGCTTGCTATAAAGAATCGAGCTTCAGAATTACAATGGTGGTGACCATAAGTTGGCGGCCAAGGAGGATGATATTTATAGCAAATTATTTTGCTCATAACATCCTAATGCCGTTTCAATTTCGAATGGCATAAGTGCAAAGAATCACAATGGAATTACAGTGTTTTAGTTCTAAATAAAAAAAATAACACCGTTTAAGGACGCCCGCTTTAGCATATGTGAATTTAACGAAGAGTGTCATCAGGATGTATTTGACAAAGTTTCGACGAACTCAATATCAAGCCTGGGCAGTATTGCGATACAAGTGTATCGCGATAGTATTTCGGAAATACATTATCTATTTAAAGTTCTGTATCGCGATACATTTTTTCAGTTGTATTTTGTATTTATGTACCGAAATACGTTCTCGGGTGTACTTTTGGTATTGCTGTACTCTTGGGGCCGGCATGTTTTTTTACAATATTGAAATAACTGTTGACCTCCACAAAGAGGGCCAAGACAAAGTTTCGTCAGGGACGGTTTGGGTCTCTGACAGCTCATGACTCCTTCTTTATTGTGCGAATGTTAACAAATATGTCGCCACAATTTAGGTGGTGGAACATTCCAGTCGATTCTAAAACTTGAATGTTCTGTTGGCACTCCCAACGCATGGATAAAAGGATTCGGGTTACTTGAACTTCACTTCATTGTTACTCTATAATGTCACGGCTGAAAGAGGCGTCCGGGTTGGACATAATCATAGTGACATCTAAAGGTTATTTGGAAGGACAGAAAACTGATTTAGATATCCCCGTTATATTGTTTAAGAAAGATAAGAGAGGTCTAAATAAAACCGCGGTAGAACCAGGGTGAAACAAATGGCTTCCTTCACTTAACGGGGCATTGAAGAGGATTCTACGATCGTCTGTTCTTGATCATAACTGATTCTACGCGCCTAGGCATCCAAAATTTCCAAAAATGACCATCACGCGGCGCCTATTTTTTTTATTAAAAACGTGATAAAATGTCGGAACACACACCTTTCTGAGCGGATTTTTCCGGTCGTGAAAGGGGGAGTATACCCTAGCAGCGGCGTCAGCGCGGTGACAATGGGCCCTTGGCGGCCAATCGCAAGTCGCCTCTCAATCGCATTCTGCCTCCCCGAGAGAGGCGGCTTGCGATTGACCGACGACCGCCCATCATCACCGCGCTGACGCTGCTGCTGGGGTATGCTCCGCCTTTCATGGGCGGAAAGATCCGCTCAGAAAGGTATGTGTTCCGACATTTTATCACGTTTTTAATAAAAAAAATCGGCTTCGCGTGATGCTTAGGACCCGTAGAATCAGTTATGACCAAGAGTAGACAATCTCAGAATCCTTTTTAGTGCCCCATTAATACTTTGCAAAATGCAATTGCTTGCTGGTTTAAAAACAAAATCTCGTATTCTATACCATGTTTCATTTCTGTTCTTCGTATGCTATAAAGGGTGCACCCAAACACGAAAAAAAAAGTTTTTATAACAATGTATTTTAGCGTCTGTGTTTTAGCCCCACCAAAATCTATTCTTGTATTTGTATTTTCAAATATTTTCGTTTTATATGTTCAAATGCATTTCAAATCTGTGTAGCTATACATTTTTATAAATGTATTTTAATATCAGTATTTTAGTTGGTTTTGCCATATATCCCACTATTTGCATTTTCAGATATTTTGAGAGCATTTCTGCCGAACCGTGGGAGTCAATATGATACATTATATAGTTGCAGGTTAATATGCCTTATGTCCTGTATAGCAATTTTATTTTCTTAGAAAATAATTTCGCCCTCCTTTATATAATACTGCCCTTGCGGGAGTATTTGGGTTTTCAGGTTCATGTAACATTGCCTCAAAGGCGTGCGATATATCTAAGGAAAAACGGCACTGCATTTTTGTGGAGCGCATTTACAACCTGATGAAAACCCGCTGAATCCAACAGCTCTATGCTAAAAAAAAAAAATGGCAATTTTATCTGATAATATATTCGAGCTCGATGTCGCCCAAGTCGAACTTCAACCTCTTCCTCACGATTTGTATGAGTTCGCGTTTTCACGGGAGGACTCGTTTTTCACCTTAGAAGTGCAAACCATGCCAACAAAGCCTATGTATAATCACCTCCAAGTGAGGTTTTATAGATACGAAACCGAATAAATGTTATATGCATGGTTTAAAATTTTTTTTATGAGAAAGCAGTCTTCGTTCGTTTTAATATGAACCCGCGTTCATTGACACTTGTGGAACAAATAATCTTGGTCGCTGGCATAACGCTTTGCACAAATCAGCGGCGGATGGCCGATGAGCTATTTTTAGAAATCTACTTCTTATATGCGGGCGAGTGTAGCAGAAAGGTCGTATATTTACTTTGGTTTTGTGTTGCTTTGATATAAAAATATAATGTGTAACAATAGTGTATGTGAGTATGTGAGCAAATGTATGTGATTATTATTGCCCTGGCAAAATGTATCCCTGTATTTGTATATCAAAATATTTTCTATTTTTCAAAGGTATTTCTGATATGTATCGGGATACTTTCATACAGTTGTATTTCAGTATTAGTATTTTGGCTGTCTTCGTCATGTATACCAGTATTTGTATTCCAAATCTATTTTAGTGTACTTTGGTCGTAGCCAACGAGCTTGCGTCTTAAGCCAATTAGAACGCAGGATAACAAGTCAAACGCAATAAGCGTGAACATTATACTACCCGTAATACGTTTCTTAGGCTGTCGATGACTCTAGTACATGAATATATGTCGTTACACTTTGAAGAGCTCCGTCTTCCCGTTCAGGTTCCACATATACTTCCGCCAGTTCATGTGCCGGTGCTGCAAAGAGCCCGAGAAGCTGCCTGGCCGCAGCCTTTCTGGGACGGTGAGGTCGAGCCACATCAACATGGGGAGCTTCGTCGATCGACTGGCCGTGCGCTTCAGCAGGAGATCGAGAGTCGGACAATCCCGGCACTGCCACAAAAGTTTGCAGCGGGAAGACAACCGCCAAGGACTGAGGGGATGAAGACCGACATGTTCCAACCATTGTGGAATGATGTGCCGCCTGATTGAGGATACGAAGTTACTCTGGATTGGTTTGCAACAATATTTATAAAAATAAATCGGAACTCGCCACCCCTGCGTAATTTCTTTGTTTCTAAAGAAATCCTTTGAATGGAGCCTGATTATGGGAGGGGGCGGTTTTTTTAGAAGGGTTCAAGAGTAACGTTATCTTCGTCAAATGGCAGCCGATCATAGTTTAAAGCTAGAAAAAAAAACAAAAAAAAAGAAAACAAGTGGAACGTTTGGTGAATAAAAGATACCAATTTGCTTCGCAGACGTACAGCATCTCTTGGCCCATTGCTCCACTCACTCTAAGAAAAAACGGAGTGGTGCTTTCTCCTTAAAAGGCCAAACAGAAATGTCCCATATATTGCTCTGCTCAGGGAGAAAATTCGCGCCTTTCGGCAAAGGAGAAAATTTCCTCCCCTAAACCAACATGGCGGTCGGCGGGTGCGAGGCGAGTGACGGGCAGTTGTAACGAGGTGCACGGCTCACGTGGCTTTGCGAAAGCAAGGCACAAGGCGCGTATTCCTATTCGACGACCCCAAACATCCTTCTCCAAGCACCGGCACCGTACACAGTGCGATGCAGACGTTATTAAGCATACCAACTGGATGCCGTAAGGGGCCGGAAGCGACGACGAGACTCGGAGACATGCGGTGGACAAACCGATGCAACCACGCTTTTATAACGCGTTTGATCACCTTTCTCGTTGAGATATCCACTCGTTCGTATGTATTCACTAGCTTTTAGCGCACGGAGGGCGCTTATCAGTCAATGGGACGCGATAACAAGCGATCGAGCCGATGATACACTTTCTATGATTGTTTCCATTTCAAATGAATGGATAAATACGAAGCACTGAACGCTGTGAAACGAGCGGTGACCTGCGCCACCTAGTGTTTTCTAGCGCCAACACCAGATGGCGCTTCCACAAACATCAGCATCATCATCGATTTGAGGAAAAGGAAATATTAGGCCTAATAAGGCAGCAGCATTGCGCCGTGGTACACACAACACAGCCTCCCTCCGACGCAAATACATGTATACATACGAACACACACAGGCACGTACAACAGTAACAACATACTCCACTCACACGCCCTACACACTGATAACCTACGTGGACCACTGGGAGTATATATACTCAACGAATTTGGAACCGAAATTTACCTGTAAACCTGTCATCAAGAAATTATGTTACAAGCATGTTGCTTCGTACGCACCAGCATTGCATTCAAGAAATAATATTTCGAGCCCGCTGAGGCATCTATCTCTTACCAAAAAGTGAAACTAAATGTGGTAATTTTCCCGTATTCGAAAAAAAAAAAAAAAGCTACCTATTCAAAAGGTACCAGACCCCAGATCCGGCTTCCCGCATTGTGACTCACAGGCGCGCGTCTGCCGTCAACATAAGCCCCTGTTATAGCGCTTATTTCAAAACGACGGGGTGCCGTAGTGGTAAGACGTGTGCCTCATACGCGGCGGTCTCGGGTTCGATTACCCGTGAAAACTTACTTTTTTTATATTTTTATTATATTTGATCAATTTGGTTTGTAAAGGCATTTGGTGGGATTTACGACATTTCTTCTCTACAATTCACAACTGAAAAAAAAGAAAAGTTGTCCGCATGGATTAGCTAGGAGAAAAGGCTTTCTTTAATCCGAGATAACTTTCTATGGCGATGTAGAAGAAATGAAGAGTACGCACGCACGTAGCTTTGATCGGCTGTTTTCGCGTGGGAGGTCGAACACTATGCCCGTGCCTTGTAAGGCCGCTGGGCGTTGCGGTTAAAATGTTGTTTTGTGCATGTTTCTTAATTAATAAGTTGCTCATGGGGAGCTTGGAGGCGCTTCAGCGTACGGGTTTTATGATCCTTCACCCAGCCGCGCACGCTTCCCGTGTTCTTCTTTCTTGTGCAAATAAAGATTGATTGATTATCTGATTGACGAGCGCCGCGGCCCCTTCGCGTGATGCACGGTAGCTTTACGAGGTATTCAAAAATCACCCGCGCCTCAAGTCGTAATTTTTATGCGGCCCAATGATGACAAAAAGCAAATAGTCGGAAGTGAATTTGGCCAAATATTTTGTTACACAATTAAAAAAAAATATATATAGTGACTGTTTTTTTTTAAATATTAATCTGAGGAATATACCCAGGCAGCACAAAATTTTGGCCCGACACTGGCCAATGCCTGATTTTTGCTCGGCACCTGCCTGGCCAGCCCGGCCACTGGAAAGCAGCTGGCCAAAGGTCCCCAAAAGATCACTATTAAGTCCCCGGCCACAGAGTCTTAGTTTTTCCATTGGCAACCAATCACCAAATTATGTTCGGGAAGGGCTTGGCCACCAAGTCTTTGTTTCCTCCCTGGTCACCCGCCTCAAAAAGGTGACCAGTACTCATCCGGCCAATGTTCACCGGCATGAACTTGGTCAATGTAGACAAAAAAGTGCCCGGTAGAAGACAGAGTACTGATCACTCTTTTCATCCCCGGCCACCAGTCCTAATAATATCCTCAGCACCTGTCCGGTCAATGTTGACTGGCAGCAACCTGGTCAACGAAGACAAAAAAGTGTCCGGTAGAAGCCTGGGACTCACTACTCTTTTCATCCCCGGCCACCAGTCCTAAAAATATCCTCAGCACCTGTCCGGTCAATGTTGACTGGCAGCAACCTGGTCAACGAAGACAAAAAAGTGTCCGGTAGAAGCCTGGGACTCACTACTCTTTTCATCCCCGGCCACCAGTCCTAAAAACATCCTCAGCACCTGTTCGGTCAATGTTGACTGGCAGCAACCTGGTCAACGAAGACAAAAAAGTGTCCGGTAGAAGCCTGGGACTCACTACTCTTTTCATCCCCGGCCACCAGTCCTAAAAACATCCTCAGCATCTGTCTGGTCAATGTTGACTGGCAGCAACCTGGTCAACGAAGACAAAAAAGTGTCCGGTAGAGGCCTGGGACTCACTACTCTTTTCATCCCCGGCCACCAGTACTAAAAATGTCCTCAGCACCTTTCGGCCAATGTTGACCGGCAGCAACTTGGTCAACGCAGACAAAAAAGTGTTCAGTAGAAGCCTGGCTACTGACCACACTTTTTATCCCCGGCCACCAGTCCTAAAAACATCCTCAGCACATGTCCGACCAGTGTTGACTGGCGGTAACTTATTCAATGATGAAAAAAAATTGTCTGGTAGAAGACTGGGTACTGACCGCTCCTTTTATCCCAGGCCACCAATCCGAAAGATGGTCACCCTATTTGGCTTGTTTCAAATTGGTCAACAAAAGAAAAAAAGTGTCCCATAGAACATGGGTATGCAGAGTGCTGCTTTTATTCAGGACCACCAATCCTCTCTGGCATTACATTGCCCATTACAATACAGTATACAAGCCACAGGCTAGGTAAGCAATGACTTCCGCTTGTTCTGCAAATATTAAGTCTGGTCACATGTAGGTGGCTACATGTTTGCCCAGGCCAGGTAAGACTGGGAGAAGGGATTAACACTTGAGGAATCCAGGCCGTGGCGCGTTCCATACTATAAAATTGGCTCAGAAAACTTAATTTGGATAAAAATTATATTTTATTATTTAAACACAAATTATATGTACAAAATGCGAAAACATTAAAAAATGACTGTGCCTTTAACAGAGCAGTGAATTCTGGACTTGTTGTACACAACAAAAATGAACCAGAATATGAAAAAAAGCTTTCTCTGGTATTCTTTTGCCAATTACAAAATTCTTCATAACAACAGCTTTTCTTTAGTCACAGATTTCTGGCCAAGATAAAACAAGAAAAAATGAAAACAAACACACAATAAGCACATGTATTTCATAACCAAAACCTGGCTGGCAGTATTGCTATATCAAATATAACAGAAAAGTTCTATCACTTAAAAACCAAATTATATCAGCTACAGTCACAACATATTGGGTGAAATCACGGTCAGAAGTCGGGTCTCTCTCCACCTGAGGAAACCTCAAGGTGACTGGTAGCAGTAAGGACGTCGTCAAATGGCTACAAAAGAAGCACATTGGGCTAATGGCAGCGCGTGCAGAGCGAAAATCGAACAAACAAAAAAAAAGCTCTCCTAACTAAGCCATGGTTAAAAATATTGGGTGAAAAAATGGAGGAAAACACGTATCCGACTCTTCGAGACAACGAAAGAACTTTATCGAACGAATCACACTTCCCGCCGTGGTAGGCCGACGTTGTCACAATCACGAGACCTCCACTCGTCGTCGAAAACACGCCGCTAGCTTTTTGAGGGGAATGAACGGCACAATCGTACTATACACAGTGCGACGGCTTTGTCCCGATCACGATATCTATACACGTCGTCGAAAACGCACCGCTTCTTCTTCCACGGCACGATCGAGCACCAGTTGCACAATCCTGCGCACCTTCCTTCAACTACGTCCGACAGGCGTAGCGTAGTCTCGCTTTGCCCAGCTCGAACACTCACCGCGACGTCGCGCAGTTGACGATGCGATGCAGTTCTCACACACGCTCTCCCGTGCACGAAAAACACAAAACAATCACATGCCGATGCCTCGGTTGATTTGTGGGCGTCTAACTTCGTTGAATGTCTCACGTGTACACAGATTTCCACTGACCCGTCACATAGGGTTACGTAACTTTGGCTACGGAGGCCAAATAAAACGAGATGCGGTGCTTCTTCTTGGCTCCGTAAGGTCCAGAAACATACACCGATCTATCTTAGGGATCTTAGGTCCGGTCCAAGGTCAATTGTGCGGTCTTTGACATACCTTTTCCAATTTTCCAACGAGAAAAACTAAAAAAAAAAGAAAAAAAGGCGCGCTGCTCATTCCTGGGGCCCTAAACTCGTGAAACACGAAGTTGGGGCCGAAGTTGAGGGAGCGCACCGATTGGACAATCACGACGATGACTTGGAGCTTTTGTCGCCAACATCCAATCGGCGCGCTCCGCGAACTTTCGGACCGAACTTTGTGTTTCACGAATTTGGGGCCCCAGCTCACCGAGCAAACATACAGATGAAGCAGGTGAACCGGAAGTGATCTCGTCCCAGCAAGTTCCG